AGTGTATTGGTCAGCGGTCTACATCTGCGTTCGAAAACGGATCAAGGCATCTGGGAAGTAGGTCCTAATCATAGAGGTGTATAGATCCTAGGTGCCTTCGTGCTGGTTGTGAGATGTTGTGTGTGCATGTAACAACTGCAGAAGAGACACGAGCACACCAGCACTGCATTCAATTCTTCGCGCACTTTAAGTTTATGTCACTCCCAGAAACAAAAACCCAACGGTCCCAAGCACCTGACGCTTTGAGTAACGAGGTATCAGGAGGGCAGAACGTTACAAACAGTGCTCTGGAAACCTCGGTTCTGCCGTTATTTTCAAGGCTCAGTCTGGTTTAGGATGCAATTCTCCTGAACCCCGAACCCAACACATCACACCTGGCGATAGATGTCTACGAGGCCTCTGTGGGCCATTTCAAACCTTCTAAGACTCACGAACAGCGAACCTGACGGCCCACGATACCTACACACTTGCTTTCGATGTGCAGAGGGCCAAGCATTCGTATGGAAGTTTCCGAAAATAGGGGACCCTGAGAACGTGCCCGAAATAGTAGTCTCCTTATTATAAGGACCCCAAAAGAAGGTGCCCCTAAGTTTCGGAAACTCCCATAAAAGATTCTCTGAGTTCAGCCCAGGGTCCTTCCCAAAGCAACGCTGCTGCTGCAATCATGCAAAACCTGCGGCCCAGTGCAAATGCTACCGCGCAAGTCTTCATGAACTCAGACTCGGGTTCCCAGAATTGCTACGGCTAAATCCTAAGCCAGAACCTGCAGCTAAGTCGTCTTCAGCTCCTCAATGCTCCTCAAACAAAAGTACTCAAAGACACTACTCCTGATGTCTTAGCTCTACCTATATCGATGGCCAGTTCGAGGAGAATAAGAACTGTTCTGGAAGGGGACTCCCAGTACACCCAAGATCCCCAAACCGCCAATGCCAAGCTATCGGCTAACTGTAGAGAGTGGCCAACTAAAAGAGGAGCCACCTTTGAGTTTGAGGGTACGCGTAAAACGACGTATCACACCATTCCAAAGCCTTGAACGCCATAAAAAAGCTGTGGTTATACAGTTCCACAGGAGGGAAATCGCCCTAGACGTCCCTTTTCCTTACACTCTAAAACCTTGAACCCAAGAATCCTAAACCCTTTTTGCATCCAGGCCTATTGCGACTGCCGGGTACCCGTGAAGAACAGAAACTGAGGGCCAGGCAAATCTTAAACCCTACAACCCCAAACCCCTAAACCCGCAATATAGGGGCCTGAATACTTACCAATGCTATTGTGGGGGTTCCTTATCATACTTATAGTATAATATACCCCGAAACAGGGCTCGAATCGCCCCGTTGTGAGGAACATCGTAGCCCCAGTGCCCGAATGCCATGGCCCATATGGGAAGTACGGGCACGCCATGTTGACAAGAACTTCCGACAATGCGACGAGTTCAGCCAAGCCCTCCTAGTGGAGAAGGTCCAGTCCTTTGCCACGATCCTCCCGAAGTTCTTCGATTACGAGAAGGATGCCGACCATAGGACTCCCGACTGCGACATGCTGAAAATCAGTGCGTACGTGGTCTCTTTCAACTACGGCCTGAAGCGACGCGTCTTGAAGACTTTCCGAAATGCCGAGTGCAGCTGGATGTCAACGAGGGCTCGTGTGGCAGAGGCCACAAACAGGGCCGAGGTCATCAAATCTGACTGCGAGGGCCGCGAAGAGAACGAGCTAAGGGTCCAGGGCCTGGAGCTCTTCTTCCGCTTCCAGAATGATGAGGCGGGAGGAAAGCGGACATCGTTAAGGAGATTTTCAAGCTGATGCCGATGGGCATAGACACGAATCGGGCGGGGAGATGTTGGTCCGCTTGGCCAAAATTCCCGCCAGCATCGACGGCGAGGTTGAGCGCCGATGGGGTACCGAGGATCGACAAGCCCGAGGCCACTGACTCCGTCGACAACAAGTACCGACGGGAGCCGAGTGGGACAAGAGTACCAGTGGGGAATACTGCTGAGCTGATTGCCCCCTGAGTAGTTCGTACAGAAGAGTGGGCACAGTGTTGAGACTGTGTGGGATTAGCCCTGCAGTTTGCCTCTTCCAATCCCGAGAGGAATAAGCTCAGGGTGGTGTATAGTGGCCCAGTGACGTTTGAATCTCTGCTGCATGGAGTCTTGCTCGTAGTTCGCCTCATCTGACTCCGTGAGGAATATGCTTGAGCAAGTTGTCTGCAGTTGCGGTACCTCCCGCATAGGAGTCTGATCAAGACCCCCTTTTTGGTTAGTGTAGGGCTTGAAAAGCTCAAATGCTCCATGCGCCGCTTATTGAGTTTAGCGCTGGAGAACGGCTGTTCTGTGATACGTTGTCCTTTTGGTTTTGTACGGGGATGTGCTCCATGGAGATGGCTTTTGCGCATGGCGCTGCCAGTTCGCTCTCTGTGGTTCTTCCTCCGTTAAGTGCGATTGCCCAGATTTCTGCACCGCGCACTACTGAGTAGTTCGCGAGCGCAAACTGGGGGTCTGCACTTGCCATAGAATTTATCTGTGCAATAGGCGCGCTCGTACATGGACACATAGCCTCATGAAAGAAAGAATACCCCGAAACCCTATTCCAATTTCGAAGGCCCCCACTATATAACTTGACTATAGATCCCTTTAATGGACCCCTTTTAAGGCTCCCTTTAAAAAGAACGCCCTATCGCCCTATTCTAACTATTAAGGCCCCTACAATATCCTTTAACCTCGGACTCCCGGGTCTCCGGCAAGCTCGTGGCGAACGCCATGGTTGCAAATTGGGCCGACAAGAAGGAGACCCTGGGATCTTTAGGGTTTAGGGGGTGTTTGTATAGGGCTCTTTAGGGTTTGGGGGGTTTTGGGTTGAGGGCTCTTTAAAGGGTTTTGGGTTTAGGAGTTTAGGGTTTAGGGGTTTTTGTTTAGGGAGCTTTAATTTAGGGTTTTGGGTTTAGGAGTTTAGGGTTTAGGGGTTTTTGTTTAGGGGTCTTTATAGGGTTTTGGGTTTAGGAGTTTAGGGTTTAAGGGGGTTTTTGTTTAGGGCTCTTTATGGGGTTCTGGGTTTAGGAGTTTAGGGTTTTGGGGTTTTTGTTTAGGGATCTTTAGGGTTTAGGAGTTTTTTTCCCTCGTGCATAGGAGTTTTGGGTTTAGGGGTTTTGGGTTTAAGGTTTCAGCGGGTTCCGGGCTTAGGTTTGGGGGTTTTGGGGGTTTTTCCCTCCTACTTAGCAAGGACGAAGCCGGGCAGTTCAGGTGACATGTGATTGAGTTTGGAGGTTAGGGTTGAGGGTCGGGAGATGTTGGGAGTTTCGGCCGTAGGGTTTTTTGCTTCCCGCCTGGCTAGGACGAACCTCGGCTTTAGGGTTAGGGGTTTAGGGTTTGCGATTTACGCTCTCGCAACTCGGACATGCCTGACGAGGTCTCCGGTGCGAAGTACATTGACTGGTCGGCACTGATTTAGGATATAGAGTTCGGGGCCCTTTCTCTCGGATTTCCTCAAAAAGCGAGGTGGGGCTTTGATTCTTTTCAGATAGTCTTACTGCGGCCTGTTCTAACACTTGCTTTTCGTGAGTTTATGCTGAACGCCGTCTTTTCATCTCGCCAAGATCCGGTTTTCGACTTTGGGTTTCTGCACTCACAGTCCAAAACCCTAAAACACGGCCTGTAACTCTGCGTGAACCATGCCTCAGCCGGCCGAACTTCTTCGCTCAAGAAGACAATGCTAGGGGAGCTCAGTAGTTGTCTGCATACGGTTCATGAACTTCAATCCCCGAAACCTTTCGTACCACGCCTCTAAACTCTAAACCCATGTGGGTCGGATAGGCTTCGTATAGGTTGGGTTCAGGCCACGTTAATTATTACTAGGGGCATGTTAGGAATTGGGCAGTCTTACTGTGCCACTGTGCGTCGGCCTACGTTATAAGGCTTTCTCCGTTACCGCCAAACCTTCATTCAACCCATCACCCCTCAACCCCAAATCCTAAACCCCCTCATTTAGAAACACCAAGCCACCCAAAATCCTAAACCCTTGAAAAAGGAGCTCAGGTCCGCCACCGAGCTGCTCTTTCTCGAACTCGCGGAAGCGCAAGGAGTAGAGCGACACGCACCGAAAAACACCTCACTTGCACAGCTTGCCTCGAATACAGCTAGCAATACAACCATACTAATACAGATTGCAACTCAATGGTGAACATGATACTGACAACGGTAGTCAGAGTATTCATAATCCATAAGGCTCTCACGATCATACAAGATACCTTTGCTCCTTCCGTTCAGGTCAAATAACCGAGACCACAAAAGGCAAAAGAGTATTGCTGGGGGAGCCAGACACGTCTGAAGGCGGAACGCGGTGCTTGTCGCTGCACTTGTGACATCGCGCTATACTCGCCCCACCCCCTGCGACAAAACTCCCCGCGCTGAGTGGACAATCGTCCCGCTCGGCATGGTCCGAGTCTTGAGCCCAAATGGTGCGAAGACAAGGCTCGGGTTGTTAATATATGGGAGTTTCCGAAATGAGGGGTACCTCATTTTGAGGTCCTTATCATAAAGACCCTACTATTTAGGGTACTATATTAGGGTCCCGTATTTTCGGAAAATCCCATATGGGTCTACCTAGGACCTAGAGGCTCATACCCTACCCCTCTTTTAGTAGGGTACCTACTTTTCCAGAGAACAGATCCTAGTCCTAGCCATAAACCTAAGTCTCCGGAAAAAGGGGAGGGGAGGATCTGAGCCTCTAGGTAAGAATTGAGAATAGGATTTTGGGACATATTTTTGCGGCTTACGCTGAGAAACCCTTAAGGAACAGTATTGGCAATTTCAATGGCGGTTGGGACTGCTGGTTCGAACCTTCGTGACAGTGTCTAGTGTCTGCCAGTTGCCTTGTATTCCATATGTGCTCCCGAGCTTCCGAAGCAATTCTGTCCGGAGCTCCGGGGAACATGTTGCTTGAGAGACCTTCTGGAATTCAAATCCGAATCCCGCCGATGTCCTGCTGCGAGAGGAACGTGGGCCAGCCTTCCCCGACCTGCGCGGCTCCCATTCGTGCTCCTGCCGCTGCTGCTGCTTCTTGGCAGGTCCTCCGGCTGGAAATGTAAGGGCCTGGATACTTCGAACAGGGCTTTGGGGCCCATTCTACTATAGTTAGTTACAGTAAGGAACCCTCCGAATAGTACACGAAATTATTTAAGCGCCTATGTTAATTTTGGTGTTGCTCGGAGAAATCGATACAAGTTCCCAGGAGCTCGCACCAGAATGCCACGGCTAACGCTGACCGAGTCTCTCGAAAAAACTGCTTCCGGAACCAAAGCTGTCAGGTGCGCCTTTGGAACGACACTCCCGTCCGTCATGGTCACCTGAGGTAGGCGACATGTACCTTTTGCCGGCGAAATAAGCAAAGAATGGGAAAGTTGCCATCATATTGCCCAAACACTACCCGTCAAGCCCTGAAGCCTCAACTTTCAAACCATTAACTCCATACTCTGACACACTGAGATTCCGAAGCTCCTACTATAGGGGCCTAAGTAGTTACCTATACTGTTTTGGGGGGTTCCGCATTATAAGTATAGTATAATGGGCCCCAAAACCCTATTCTAATTATTAAGGCCCTTATATTACGCTGCCGAAGCGGCATTCGCTCCAAGCTCTCATGACGACATGCGTCGGGCGCACAGGCCGCTGGAACTCTACAGGGTGTTTTGGAGTTTTGTTCTCTCCTACTTGGCAAGGACGAAGCCCGCGTTGCCGGGTACTTGGTTGCACAGTGGCAGGATCAAGCTTTGAAGCCCGCATAGTGACATGCCAAGATCGGTCCCAAGGTCGGCCAGTGTTTTGGAGTTTGGGGGCTAGGGTTTCGCGAGGGTCTTTTCTAAAGCATTTTCCGATGACTCAAAGTGGTGGTTCAAGATATTGTGCCGTCGTCTGCTTCTCGGCTGCTTCATCTGATTGTAAGGGTAATGAGGTAGCAAAGGTTGGTGAAAGCGCTGTGCCTATGAAACATAAATGCCTCCTGCTACTCGGGCCTGGCGGAACCGAGATGACATGACGGCATGACAAAGGCAAACAGCGAGCTCGTGGGGCAGCATCTTCGTGATGTCTGTCATGCCAAGACATAGACATCATCTTCGGGGCCCAAGCAAAGCCATACCATACCTTTTGCTCGTTGTTTTGAACGCATGTACTGGGTTATATGTCCTCCCCCCAAGACGGTTAAAGGTTACCTACCCAGCCCTGCAACTCATCACATCTACTAGCTCGGCAGTGTCAAGCTTCAAGGCGGGTCTCTTTTTGAAAGCTGAAACCAGATGGAGGCCTTCTTCGCTCGGCCTCCCTTTCAGATCTTGCCGACCTTTGGCCAGCAAAAGGTCCTTGGATGTCCAGCGAGTTTTATGGACTTCTGTAAGACCCCCCCCAAAGAACTTCCAGTTCAAATCTTGCAGCCATTCCAGTCCAAGTCTTGCAACCAATACCCAAAGCTCGAAAAGCCCCAACCCGAACCCGAAGCCCTGGGTACTACACCCAAAAACCCTGGAGTCATCCTTGTTGCCACCTTATCGTAACCTTATTCGTCCCCCTTATAGGAACCCCAATCCTTGGCCCTAACCTTAGGCCCTAAGAACACTAAACCTAAAACCCTAAATTCTGAGCCCTAAACCTTTTTTCAACTTCGAGTTTCCCTGAACCCTAGGCTTCAAACACTAAACCTCTGAGCCCTGAACTTATTTCAACTTCTGGGTGTCTGCTGGGCCCATCTGCAGATCTGGCCGTTGCACGCATCTCCCGAGGCGAGGCTTCTCCTGAGAGGACACCGTAAAGGGATCCTTACAAGGGGATCCTTCGAAGGGAACTATGAAAAGGGGACCATAATATTTAGAACACGGGTTCCTGTAAAGGGATCCTTGAATGATTTTGGAGGGATTTACAGGGATTTCTTGGATTTAATTGAAGATTACTGTAAACGGCTGGTTGATAAACTCCTCTGCCTTGATCAGATGTTTTACCAGGATCCGAATACTAAGGCCTGACGGACAGGGGGTTTGAGAATCAGGCATCCGCATTCCCCAACATGTCCTATGCCTAGTCTTTGCATCAATGACGTAGGGTTTACATTCGGGTTTGGCGAGTTCATACACGGCTCATTGGGGAGGTGGTGCGTGCTTGCTGGGAGTCATTTTGGGAGGAGGAGGAGGAGGAGGAGGAGCAATGAAATCCACACTTCATACACCAACCATCAGAACCATAACTGTTACAAAAATGATTCTCAGCGTTTTCATACCATACGAGCATGGCACCGCTTTTGCACCTATCTTGCCAGGTTGGCCCAGCATCTCCGCCGAAAAGTTGCCCTCTCCACCCGTCCGCCGCGAAAGGTATGCAGATCTACGATTTTTGTTGGTGGTTTCGGGTAAGGTTTTGAATTTGGGGGTTTCGCTTTTTTGTGATTGGGGTTTGCCCTTTTCGTTGCCTCCTGTGCTGCGTGACTGAGTCCTCTGGCCGGGTCCTCAACCATCACGCCCAGGCTTCGATTATGGAGTTTAGGACCATGGGGTTTTGGGGCGTAAAGTCCAGGGATGCTTCTTGAGTGTATTCAGACTATAGAGCCAGCCTATACGCTGTTCTTAAAATTTCATGGTCCCGGTCCTTCGATACAGTATCAGATATGCAGGCCAGGGAACTGCACTACACTTGGGGCTGCATGGAGGGCTTAGGGTTTAGGGCATCAGAAGAGCGAAACTAAAATCATCTGCTGTTCGGGACGGAGAACATCACAGGAGGGCAGCAAGCAATATCTGTGCAACTTCCGATATGCACATTATAGATACAAATGAATAAACGAAAAAACAAATAAGCAAACACACGTGTACATACATATATATATATATATATATATATACATATACATATACATATATATATATATATATATATATATATATATATATATATATATATATATACATATATATGTACATATGTTAGTGTGTATGTATATATAAATATGTATTTACATACATATCTATTAGCCTGTTTGTTTGTTGATACAAGTACATACAGGCATACATACACAAATACATTGTATACATATTTAACTACTTATGTATTTATACACGTGCATATCATCAATACTCACGACTGCTGTGCCTGAACCACAAACACGAAAACCATCTCGAGCCCCTCATAACTAGGAGCCTCAAAACGAGTGCAGGCCAAGCATCCGGGCCCGGTCGAGGATGCCCTGGCACCTGCAGCACTTGCAGTGCTAGGTCTCCTCTTGTCGGAAAGGTTTCGCCAGGAGCTGCCGACAGCGAACCCGCCGGGTCCGGTGGCTGGCTGAAGTGGTCGCGCAGCTACGCCTCTGCCAGCCTTACCAACGCTCCCCGCGGACTCCGCCAACTTTGCAGATTCTGCGCCCATGCTCCTCGCTCGTGACTCCGGGGCAGCGTGCATCTTGGCAGTAACATGTTGAGGCGAGCCAGTCACAGTGGCATAGCGCTTCTCGAGCTGTCGTGCTGCAGCCGGAAGTGTCCGGGGATTCTGCTCGGACCCGACGGGCGAAACATGCCCCCCAGATTCCACGCTTCGGGCTGTCTTCGACTCCTAGGCAAGAGGAAGATGCAACAGTGATGCAACATCTGCTTTCAAACTTGTTTGCCGTGAATTTGTGCAGCAAAGTCACAGTGGGGCGCTTGGCGAAGGGATACGAGTACACGGTTGCGCTGACAACCTCCCACAGGTCATGCCCAGTGCCTTTTCTGATCCCAGCCCGAACCAACATGATGTGGATTTGACTGGGATGGCGCGGTCTCTCATTCCCAACAACATATATATATATATATATGTATACACGCAAACTTCTACTTACTGTCATGGCATATGCAACTTGATTCGGAGCCGTCGGTTTGTCATTCGCCTACTGGCGCATTCATTCCAACGTCGTAGAGCGGCCAGTAAAGAGACATGGCAGGGGCGCGGTACTGGTAGCATGTGAGTGCGTGTGCGTGTATGTATGTACGTGTATATATATATATATATATATATATATATATGTATGTATGTAATATATGGATATCCATATCACATATGTACAGATATATCCGTGAATATACATATATATATATATATATATATATATGAAAAGGTATGTGTATATATATATATATATATATACACACACATGCACATATGTGTGTGTCTGTGCGCGCAAAACTATCTTTATCTATCTTTAAATCTGTAGCTGCGCATGTGTGCGCTTCCTTGCTTTTGTGTGCCTCTCGCTCTCTCTTTCTCTCTGTCTCGGTCTCTCCCCCTGTCTCTTTCTATAACGGTTTAGGGTTTAGGGTTTATAGGGTTATAACTTATGAGGCTGGTGACTGCTGCGTTTCTGGGTGGCCCGGCTCGTGTTCGGCCAGACGGGAAGCGGGGCTCCCTGGGAGGCACGCTGAAGGTCGACAGCTCCGGCTCGGGCGTATCCGCCCTGGCCGAGTGATCGGTTCAAGCTTTCAGCACTCACAACTCCGACAGTGTACAAGCGATTCAGGGTTTTGGGTTCTCAGCATTATGCTCGCGCGAAGTGGGTTGAAGGGTTTAGGGCTCCGATGCAGGGCTCAGCTTTCTAATTCAAGACACCTTGATGTTATTGATTCTCAGGTGGGCGCCTCTAGACCACAACACCATGCGGCTGATTTCCCGAATGGGCTGACGTGGACACCAAGCACAAACAAGCCTGGCAACTATGCAAATACTGTCAGCCACCGCAGGCAGCACATGATGATGATGATGATGATGCTGATGATGATGTTAATGATCGAAAGTAGGAGTAGGAGTGGTAGGATCGGAATGGGGGCAGTAGTAGCCGCAGCAGTGCCAGCAGCAACAATCCCTGACGGCGTGAGAGTCTTATGGCACTGCCGTTCTAAGTAAGCTAGATTTCCGTGTCAACTGTTCCTCTACTTCTGAGTATCTGAAATCAGGAATCCCCAATGTGGACTCTAAACAGAGGGACCCTTGTCTTAAAGCAGGGCACCCCTAACTGTAAGAGACGCCCGAATGCTTTCGCACCTCTGCAGCGAGGAAGTCGAAGAGTTTGTTCTCAAAGCTCCAGACATTGCCGCCAGGGTCGTCCTGCGAGCACGTCCGGCTTGGACAAATTTCGGGCCTTCTTTGAGGCTTCAGGCGTGAACTGTAAAGGGTGCCTTACAGTACTTCCTCTGTAAACGAGACCGCTGTTCCTAACTCCGAAAGCCTACTCCCGTAAACCCTAATCCTGCGGATCCAGTCGCTGCCGGTGCCTTCTGGTGTAGAGCGGCCACCTCTGCAGGCACGACGGGGTTCAGAATTAAGATACCTCGCCGGCATTTTTGGCGGATTTACTGCTGACAAAACCAACAACACGAATAGGCAAACTTACTACTAGTAAGGGGGAGGTGGGGATACCCTGCAAGCCTTCTTTAAGTAAGACAATAAAGTATATAGGACAATCGCATCAACAGTTGATGTTCTGATGCGTGTTCGTTTCTCACAATGGTCGCGCACCGCCAGTGCCTCCTCGTAATGAAACGGCCGAAGCATCGCAAATCGGTTCTAGCTGGGGCCTTCGCTTCGACTTCCGCTGCCGGTCCTTCCCACAGACTTCCGAACCCCTTCTTCGGGAGCCTATACTACTACAGGCCACGGGAGGAACCCCTTAAGCGGTCTACCTTTTAGATCCTCCCGCCTTCTGGGTTCATGTAGCACTGTTTATAACTAGAAGACCTATATGATGCGTTTTCTTTTGCAGGAATGGTCTTGGATGGTGAGATTCTCCCTTCTGGTAATGGTCGCCAGCTTTCATTTGGGGGTTTCCGAAAATAGGGGACCCTGATGTGGTACCCTAAATAGTAGGATCCATATGGCAATGATCCCAAGATAAGGTACCCCTAACTTTCGGAAACTTCCATTTGGGTAGTTGTCAAAACTATAGGGTTCCTTTTTGGGCACCCTAAATATTAGGTGCCGCATTACAATAGGGACCCAAAAAGGGACCATAATTTTGACAACCACCCATTTAGGAAAGGATGCTTTGGGGCCTGGGTGGTTTACTTTTACTGCTACTATTACTACTATTACTATTACTACGGCTACTGCTACAACTACTACGGCCACCACGAACACCACGATTAATACTACTACGACAACTACGTTACCACCACCACCACCGCCACCACCACAACGACGGGCATACCCACCACCACCACCACCACCACCACCCGGCACCGGCACCACCACTGCGACGACGACTGGTACTAGTATAACAGCAAGTACTGCTACAAAACGACACAATACTGCTCATGCTATCTAACCGCCCCCACCCCCCACTGGTTTAGGTTCTCACTATATCAGGACAGTCTTGACTAAGCTCACTTGCTGTTCGTTGTTGTCCGCTACAGGACAGCGCAGCATAACACAATTAGAATGCCGGCGACCGGAGACCCCAAACCCCTAACCCTATGAGCCCCAAACCGAAGTCCTGGTGAAGCTCGTGTAGCACCGAGACTCCTGCAATAAAGATCTCGAAGACTAATAAGGCTTGGGGTTTGCTTACATTCGGAGGAAGCCTTCCTAGGGATTCCTCGGAACAAGGATCCTACTATCCCGGGTCCGCCTATACCTGAGCCTACCTTCTGGTTCCTTACTATGATTTCCTGAATTGAACCCAATGAAACATAGGTTCATTTGGGCTGAGGTGCGTGTGCTAAACGATAGACTGCTTCATGCATTGCAGTAAACTGCTCGCAAAAGTGTAGGAGGAGCATGCAAGTATATGAACAGACGGACGTATATACAGTAAAACATGCGTACCTTTGACAATCCGAAACCGATGTCCCAGTTTAAGCCACCATAACCAAATCCAGGCCTATCAAAACCTGTTGAAGTTATTCAGCCCCCCTTTCAAACCACCTTATCGAACCCATATAGAAGCCCCATTCAAACCCCACCGGGGTTTGCGAAACATACAAAGGTGCCTGTGTCATTGACAGCCCAGATCGCAGCAATTCCCAAGCCCAACTCCGAAACCACAAAGCTTTGAGGATTCGCCTGCGAGCCCGGGCGTGGCAAAGTGCGATCAGGGTGGCAGCCTCAACCAGTGTGGCCCAGGTTGAGGGTTTTGGTGGTTTTCGGGCTGCTTTGGGCGTTGTGGCGGTTCTTTTTGACACTCGCTCTCGGAAAAGCCTGGCAAGGTCTGCAGAAGTAGGAGCCTCGGACATGCCAGTTACCTGTCTTTCGACGTGAAACTCTGAGTTGATACCATTAATCCGACGTGTGCCCTTACCATGGAAATCTCCACATAGAGCCTTAAAGGCACCCTCGACGGAGCTTCACACAAGCCCTCAAATGTGCCCTTGAAAAAGCCCCTTTCACAATCCCGAAGTCCGGGGCTTCTCGAAGGCTTCTTTGCGCCTGCTCCTGGATCACCAAAAGTCACCCGGGAGGTGCGGCCTGAAAGTCAAAGTTCACGGTTCAGGGTATGCGCAGGCTTGGGGTTTTAGGGCTTCGTAGAAAAAGGACATACTATTACGCTCTCACAACTCGGACAAGCCAGGCGAGGCTGCAGTAATCAGGGCACCTGATTTTCTGAAGCTTTTATTGAAACTTCCAAGTGTCGACCGTTGAACCTGCATTTACTGCCCACGTGCCTTGTTATACCGCTGAACTAATGACAAAGATTCCGCAAATGCATCTTCGGATTCCCCTCCATGCATCTCAAATGATTAGCTTGACTGTAAGAGATCGAGGGATCTGGGAGTTTCCGAGAACAGGGCACCCTAGTACAGTAGAATCCCCCTATTATGAGGACTCCAAAATATGATTCCCCCAATTTTCGGAAACTCCCATCTGGGTGATCATGCTTTCTTCTGGCAGGGACAACCTGACGACTTCTGCGCTGCCTTGTGTGCTGGCCTGAACCGCATCACCGTCGTCTTCATCCTCATGGACCAACAACCAGTAGTAGTAGTAGTAGTCGTCGTCGTAGCAGCAGCAGCAGCAGCCGCAGCCGCAGCCGCAGCCGCAGCAGCAGTAGTAGTAGTAGTAGCAGTAGTAGTAGTAGTAGTAGTCGTAGTCGTAGTCGTAGTCGTAGTAGTAGTAGTAGTAGTAGTAGTGGTAGTGGTAGTAGTAGTAGTAGTAGTAGTAGTGGTAGTGGTAGTGGTAGTGGTAGTGGTAGTGGTAGTGGTAGTGGTAGTGGTAGTGGTAGTGGTAGTGGTAGTGGTAGTGGTAGTGGTAGTGGTAGTGGTAGTGGTAGTGGTAGTGGTAGTGGTAGTGGTAGTAGTAGTAGTAGGTAGTAGTAGTAGTAGTAGTATAGTAGTAGTAGTAGTAGTAGTAGTAGTAGTAGTAGTAGTAGTAGCAGTAGCCGTAGCCGTAGCCGTAGCCGTAGCAGTAGCAGTAGCAGTAGCAGTAGCAGTAGAAGTAGTAGTGGCAATAGTCGTAGTAGTCGTGGTAGTCGTCGTAGTGGTAGTAGAGGTAGCAGTGGTCGTAGTGGTTGTCGTAGTGGTAGTAGTGGTAGTAGTCGTTGTAGTCGTGGTAGTACTAGTAGTATAGCCGTGGTGGTGGTGGTGGTGGTGGTGGTAGTGGTAGAGGAAGCAGTAGCGGTAGTAGCAGTAGTAGTAGGAGAAGTAGTAGTAGTAGTAGTAGTAGTAGTAGTAGTAGTAGTAGTAGTAGTAGTAGTAGTAGTAGTAGTAGTAGTAGTAGTAGTAGTAGTAGTAGTAGTAGTAGTAGTAGTAGTAGTAGTAGTAGTAGTAGTAGTAGTAGTAGTAGTAGTAGTAGTAGTAGTAGTAGTTTTTTTTGGCTCCCACTTGTCGGACTCTTGCGATTCCGCACTGCAGGCGACATGTCACTTCGGCTACTACAGCTCACACTCCTCCAAACTTCGACCAAGAGAACCCACTAACGATAATCCGAAAGAATGGGAGAATGGACAAAAGTGTGAGCTGATCTGGTGAGGACAAGACGTCAGTTGTCTTTGACCCCCAGAGGCAAGGGATTTTCAAGACCAAGGTCAGGTCAGCACTCTCCGCAAGGGTTTCAGCTCACCTAGGTTTCAACTGCAGTTTCAATGCAAGAGGCTCTGGCATGGTTCGGAAGAAAGAATACGGCTGCCATTGAACAGTAGTAGTAGTAGTAGTAGTACTAGTAGTAGTAGTAGTAGTAGTAGTAGTAGTAGTAGTAGCAGCCAGCAGCAGCAGAAGCAGTAGCAGCAGTAGTGCTAGTAGCAGCACTAGTAGCAGCAGCAACAACGACAGGTTCAAAATGTCCACTGGCTGTGTTGCTGGCTACGGTACAGCCGCATATATGCAAAGCAGGGTCCTGAAGAGGGGGTGCTGTACTGAATGTGGGCATGCTTCCGCTCATCGCATCTGCAAGCACCTGCGGGACGGTCTGAGCGAGCCGGTGATATCCTTGTTGCTGCTGCCATCAACATAAGGCTGGTCGTGGTAGGTTGCTTACCATTAAGCTACGTTTTGCTTCTGGGGCCCGCTGAGCCACGCAGGCCACGCATGCACAGAAATCGCAGAGATGGATGTGTGACGGGAACAAACGGCAAAGGAGACAAATTACCGGATGACATAGACATGTGCTGCCAACCCGGCTCAGCCTGGGGATCGTGCACTTCTGGTCTCTGGCAGTCAAGCTCATCCTGACTCAGTTTTCCGACGGTTGCTGCCAGAGCACCAAAGAGGAAACGAAAGAGTAATCTATATCGGACTGTTCAGCTGAAGCTGGCACGAACCTTGAAATTAGACATCAGCCTAAGATCGCTAATCAAAGTCGCAGAGAGGGTATACGCAGAACAGCTCCATGCCAGTCGCCTCAAGCATGCATTCTCCACGCACGCCTTGGCGGAACTAAACCCAAAACCCCTGAACCCTCAAGCCTACACAGTCTGCAGCTCCTCCACACCACCAAACTTTCTCCTGACATCAAGATCCGCCAAACAATCCAGGTGGTTTACTAGACAGGAAAGTGTGTTTGGTAAGGTACATAAAACTGTGATAAAGTAGGGACTATAAGGGGATACTACTGCGAAGAAGCATTCCTGCCCTAAGCCAACTTCCCCCTCCCTGGCTTCAATCTTTTTCGCGACAGGGCGCCCACTCTCCACGACGATAGCTTCTTCTATGGCCTCCTCCAAGCAGGGTCTAGGGTTTAGGTTTAGGGCTTAGGGCCCCAACTACCTTCTAATATGCCCCACATACCCCGCATCAGGCACGATAAGAGCTCTACCAAAGGGCCCTTTGGGGGGTCCTGGTTGGGTTTCGGGTTTGGGGTCTCAGCGTTCCGGCGTTCACCCTCGGACATGCCAGGCAAAGCTCTTGTTGCTGAAGCTTTACAGGGTTTCAGGGTCTAGGTTGAAGAGATTCGCCTGTGGCCGCATGGGTCGGGTCTCGCTGAGACCCTTGTCTTGGTGTTGCTGCCACTTCGTGTTGCACGCAATTGGAAAAGCAGCTTGACCTCCACATTCTGTGCACAAGGAGGTGGCCACTTGCTTTCCTCTTCATCTGTGGTGTACTTATATTATATATGTATATAGTATATATATATATATCTCTCTCTCTCTCTCTCTCTCTCCCTGTCTTCGCCCACTCAATCATTGCAGCTCGGATGCTCTGTGCAGACACGAGGGAGATCGCAAGCTGCGTCCTCCATGTCCTCTTCGGCAGGCTCCTGCTCTTCCTCTTCCGGGTCCTCCTGGTCTTCCTGCGGGGAGATACGGTTTAGGGTTGAGGGTTTAGGGTTTAGGGTTCCCGAATATGAAGCCGACCCCTTACTAAACTGCACCCGGAGTTTCGAGGGAATCCCCTTAAATCACGGAAGGTCTTCTTAAAGTCTTACAATGATAGCCAAAGTGGATGAGTGCGATTGGCCTCCTCCTCCTCTTCCTCTTCCGCTTCATCCTCGTCGTCCTCCATGTACAAGGACAAACGTGCGTGTGTGCGCACCAGTTGAGCTTGACTAACACATTTAGGTGCAAAAGGCGGCCCTAAACGCTGAAACCCGAGCCTGCTTGAAGGGTCATAAGCCTCTGCAAGCAGAGTTGCGTGGGCACGGTCTTGTATGAAATGCGTGGACCAAGACCAAAATCCTGAGCCTGCTTGAAAGATGCATGTAGAGTTGGGTGGGGGCCTAGCGTTTTTTTTAACAGACTTTTCTGGGATGTCGCGCAGCCTGTGGCGGACTCGTAGCCCAGGGAGCCTGCACAACGCAATAATATGAATACTAATAATACTAAAAATACAAGACAATACTAACGATACAAATAGTGCTAATAATCACAATAAACACAGAAACAACGATAACAATACTAATTACAACAACAACAGCAATAACAGTAATAATGACAGAAATATGACCATTATTACTACGTAAAATTACTCACAGTGCCCGGTGCTTCTCCTCTTCCTCTTCCTCTTCGCTGCTCTCCTATACAATTATTGGCTGGTCTTGGGTTGAAAGGCTGCAGGTTTCTGGATGTTCAGGGCATGCATTCAGAGTTCGGGTCAATTGTACGAGCTCGTACGAGTACTTGTTCCCTTGCCAGGCGAGCTCGTACGAGTATGAGATGGTGGGTTTAGGGGCCCATTCCTTTCTCAACCCGGGGTCAGTATCTGCCAGTGTAGAGCCGTGTGATGATTGACTCTTAGGGTCCGGAGTACTCGGAGAAAGCATGGCAAGGACCATGAAACTGACATCTGCAAGTGCAGAAGCAAAACACATGCAGCTCGCTGCGATGATGAGTGTAGCCGCAGCGGAAGTAGCAGTGGAGCAGGACGTTGGAGTCGTGAGTAACAGTGATTGCGGCAGCAGCAGCAGCAGCAGCAGAAGCAGTACCTGCATCAGGAAGCAGTCATTGTAGTAGCAACGACAGGATTAGCAAACAAATACGACGAGTGATCATTGTCTTACCAAACTTAGACTCGCGGCTGAAACCCTTCAACTCTGACATCAAAGAAGAGGCACTGCGCGTTGCGGCGAGCGCTCTCTCCCTCTCTGCCGCTGCATTCTGATGGTCCGGCAAGACAGGCACTGCACCCTCACGTAGCGGGGTCATGACAATGAACGTGTTCGCAACGACAGCGGCAAAATCAGAAAGCTACTGGTGGCAGCAATCGCATTAGTGGTCGTCATGTGTCGTCATTGTGGTGGAACGACGTTCGGCCTGGACTGAAATGGAAGAATGTAATACACGAAAAACAGCGACAGCATCAACAGCAACCCTGCTTTTGATGAAAGGCACATGCAATGCTACATCTATGCACTACCGTACATATTGTATAACTAGTGATACGGCCCGCAATACTGCGACTTACGAGCCTTGTCAGGATACCCTATAGATGTCTATGCAGGAACGCTGTCCGCAGGCTCCTGGTCTGTCTCGCTATGCTGAGGCTGCCTGGCGGTCTTTGGCGATTGGTTAATTTGCTTGCCGGGTTTCGGCACTCATGCTCGGACAAGCCAGGTCAGTTTGTTGGTACGTGATCGGTTGAGATGAAACACTTTCGAAAAGGTTCTCGGGTTCAGGACTGACTCAGTATGATTTACTTTGGGATAGAGGGTTCAGAGTCTCAGGCTGTCGAAGTAAAAATGCCTACTCTTCTTGGGGCTTTGCCACGACGTGTCGAACAGCAGTTCGAACTTGCACACAACAGAAAACAATTCCCAGTTCATGTGGAGCTAGCCTGTCTGCTGCACGAATACCATTACATGGCACGTTGCTGGGCAAGCTGCGACACAGCCCTGAAATCTCACTGCTTGCAGCGATGCTCTTGTTTCAAGCTCCGGCGACAGCGGCAATTGCTGGCAGCTTCGGTGTCCTTTCGAACATTGGCCCTGCCAGTACTAGTTCAATTGTCTGCTTGTCCACCTGAAAGTTTACGGGTTCTTTATGGGGCTAAATGTGGTCACAACTGCAATAACCATGGGTCCCGTACGTACAAACGCAGTCACATGTACCCACGGTCCTTTCAGGAGAACCAGGGCAACTCAAGCAAAGTCTCCGAAATCAGCAACACTTTCTCCTTAAAGCTCGCGATGAAGCGAACTTCAACTACGAGCTACCCATAGGCTCCATTGTAATTCGTTTTTGGGATTACCTTATAGGATTCTAAATATGAACCCCAAACAGGAACCACTATGGAGCCTTTAGGTAGCCCCTTCTTCCGTTCAGTTTTTCTCTACGCTGTGATGCGTTGCCAAAGGCGCAGCAGGCGAGGCTTTGGCCAGCTGACACCGGCTTTAGCATCTTCCCAGGTCAGGAAAATAGTGATCCTGAGCTGGGTCATGAAAGAGCCGGGTATTGTGGACATCATACGCATGACAAGTACCGGATAGAAGAAACAAACTTTAGACTTCATTCCCTCTCACTCACTACATCCTACGCACTTAAACATTCAATCACATAAACTCTACAATACCTGTGCAGCATCGTAGGGTAACTGAGGGCTAACCTCCGGGGTTATGTAGGTGTTCTTCTAGTACCACCAGAAAGGCTTTCGGCACCTATTTTAGGGGCCTTAATAACTAGAACAGGGTTTTGGGGCCGACTATACTTATAGTAAGGAACCCCCAAAGTAGTATTTGTAACTATTCAGGCCGCTATAGTACTCTACTACGGTTGATGATAAAAAAAAACCTGCATTACCTTGAGGATCCTAAACTATGGGAATTAAGGTTTATATTCCTCACTACTGGTAATGCAGGATTTATATCATCAACCCTGGTATGATAAGGACAAGGCGAGTTCTGACGTCGGGGCAGAAGAAGCTCTGGGTACCCGGCAAAGAAAGCGCCGCAAGGTCTTCCGACGAGGAGCCGCAGCCTGTGACTGACCAGGTTCTTGTTAACCTTAAAGGGAACTCCAGAAAGTTGGAATATGGTTTCAGGGTAGGATACCTTATAATTTACCATAAAGGGTTTAGGATAATCATATTCCAACTTTCTGGCTTTACTTTAACACTGAATAACCTACCTTTTTGGGTGTTCTCAATATGATTTCCTTATACAAGTCCTGAAAAAGGTAGGTTCATCCGGGTTAAGGAAGGGATTCAATTTAAGTTACCCTGATAAAGAAGCCATGCTACTTGCCAGAGGTTCCATAGCAAGAACCCAGTTGAGTAGCGTGCAAGCCTACGCCAATTCATTGATGACTAGCTACATAAGCTTAAAGATCGGACTAGATTGCGTTAGATTCGATTCGGCCCCTTCGGCTAGACTAGGTTAGATGTGGTCAGATTGGACGAGACGGGATTAGAGACCGATACAGCAAGGGTTAGCTAGACACATCGCTAGATAGATAGAACCATACATAGATAAATAGATAGGTAGGTAGTCATAACAGACAGAAGGAAAGATATATGGATAGACAGATAGACAAAAAATACACACATGAACAATCAAAGCAACACATACGAAAGAACAGTGACAAACCTGTGCTGTACACAAGTACAGAGATAACTTGCCCCCCCCCCCAAGTTGTCCTTGCACACAAAATGCAACACAGTACCAAGCATCCCATGCCAAAGGAGCCGTAAAACCGAACACGAAAGACCTTAAACACACACACACACACACACACTGATGAAACGGTGCTTGCTAGTTCCACCTAAACCCTTTACCAGAAAGCCGTCTAAACCGGAAAGCCCTAAAACCCACAAAGCCCCCCGAAAACCCTCACCCTAAACACACCGACTGTGCCAGGCCTTCAGCTGCTGAAAGCTGCAGATCACGAGAGGAAACGGGACAGAAAGCCTGAGACATTATCCGAGGTTGCTCTGTTTTCGGCTCTTGCACTCAAATTCGCACATATGTGTTTCTGGGCATTATCGCTTCCGGTTTCCTTAATGCTTGCAATGACACCGTACCAATCAATGACGGCTTAAGTGTCTTAGGCTACGTGTTTATGGGTCGATGATGTTTACATCGGTCCTTCGAGTCTACATGTTTGCGGCGTGCTTGTGTGTGCAGGTTTGTGAGAGCGTTGAGAGGAAGTTTCTGGGCAGCCAAGAGCAAGGTTTGAAGCCGCGTTTCTCGTCCGCAGGGTCGCATGTAGTGTGCCGTTTCTTGGGGCCTTACCCGCGACGATGCATGTGCAAAGTCCTGTGAAGAAATTGAACGAGATAAGGGCGCGGCAAGAAGGGACGGCTTTGGGCCTACTGTGGCGCATGTCTACGCATTACACATTGCTCCTACTCCTGCTCTCGAATGCTCCTGCTCCCCTCCTGCTCCGGCTTTTGCTGTTGCTCCTGCTCTTGCTGTTGCCCTTCTTCTTCCTCTTGCTGCTGCTCTTGCTTCAGCTCCTGCTCCAGCTCCTGCACCCCCTGATCGAAGTTAAGCTTTAAATGGCGGGGATGACTAAGAAGGGTTTTTACAGGGGTGTTATAGACGGTGAAGGAAGTAGGTATCTGTTTCTTTGTCTGCGTGTCGTTTGTGCAGGCAAAGAAAGGATGCACCAAGGCGACGCACACTGCATCTTCATCCAGGTTATATGCATAAAAACGTACGTACGTACATACTAACAAGCGGCTTGCCAGTTATGCAAACCGCAGCAGGCAGGTAGCTTGGCAGCATCATCGCCGTCTGCGATGACCATAGCGTTTTCGGTCTGGAATTGGCATGGGAAAGAAACAGCTTCGATCGTTGAGAAATTGCCCTCAAAAGACTAGGTACGACCATGCAAGACCGTGTAAGTATGCCGAGTTGAAGCACAGCGATCGTGATCAAACGTGGGGTAGGTTAGCAGGTAGCAGCTACTGGCAGTGGCTTGAACTCGCTGTGAAGCAGCAGCCCCCTCCCTGCAATGCACGCCCAGTCCTTGACGCACCTGGCAAGTCGTGATATCTGCTACAAAGCTTCAGGATCATCAGGCCCCTATCTCTCGTGTACATGTGGTGTCGGGCTCCGGGTCAAAAACGCCCAAAAACTCATGAGCTGTGCTGATCAGGCGCTGGTAGGTGGATTGAAGCGCAGAGACGCGGTGGACAAAGCACTGCTCATCTGGTCCACACTTCTTCTTGCCGCACTGGGGATTCCTTAGGGGCGTAGTGGTTTGGGGGGCTTCCCCGGCCTGTGGGGTGTAGTGGATGCCTTCAAGGACTCGGCTTCGGGTTTAGAAACTACCATGTCAAACGGACTCTGTGAAGTCTCTTCTTCAACAACTGGGCAGAGAAATTTCAGAGATGGACAAAGAATGACAAAGAGCATGATGCCAGAATTAGAATGCGTCTACAGTTCTCCAAAACTCCCCCTTAACCGTAACTCCTTTAGCCTAAGTTCAGGGCTCCAGAAGCCCGAGCCGATCCACATGCCTACTACTCGACATATCGCACACCGGAAGAGGTACAGGGTTTTTGATGTCACATTACGTATAGTATAATAGAGAACCCAAAGGACAAGTTTTGGTGATCGCTCAGGCTTTTATATTCTCTCCACTGGCACCCAAGCAGCTCTTCATCAATAATCTTTCCTTGGATGCATGAGTGTCGCTGTCTGCAGCACCCGCTTGCTCACTGTGCCTATTGGTGCTAAAGGAAGAGCGGAAGAAAGAATGCAGGGACTTCTATAAGTACTATTATTACTCATTATTACTAATCACTATAATTAGGGAGTAAGGGAGTATATCTGGGGACTATTCTACGGATCCACTCTCCCACTCCCCCGTTCTCACCTTTAAGCAAGTGGTGCGAAGTGCCGAAGTCCGAGTTTGCCGAGGGGCGAATGTCCCAGGGCTCACAGCCTGCGCTGCGGCGTTGCGGGTTTTGGGTTCTTTTTTTTGTTTTTAGGGTTTAGGGTTTAGGGTTTTGGGGTTCTTTTTTTTTGAGGGCCCTTTTCCTCCCTGCTACAGTGGGTTTTGGGGTTCGGGATTTAGGATTCAATGTTTCAGGGCTTGAGGCCTACAGACCCCAAACCTTGGCTCTGAAACCCTTAACCCTACGGCCCGATATACAATGAACGTGGACCGCTATAGGGCCAATGTTGCTCGAAACCTCTCTGCTGGCAGCTGCCGGTGCGGTCGGTTGTGAATCTATAAGCTCTAAACCCTAAACTCAAAACCCTCAACCACCATCCCACACCCTAACCCGCATACTGTCTGGCACCCCGTAGCACACTGCTGGCATGGAGCGCATCATTTCGTTGCAGCGGTACCAGGCGTTCTTCTTAAGGTCCATGATCATGCGCGCTTCGTCCTTAAGGTCTAGTTAGGCTCAATACTTATTGGGGCCTATAGGGGGCTTCGGGAAAGGTCCAGAAATCCTAAGCCCTAACGGCTCTAATACAGAGGCCGAAATAGTTAGAATAGGGCTTCGGGGTATATTCTACTGATTCTACTGTATTTTTTTACAATAAGGAGCCCCCACAATAGTATAGGTAAGTGCCATAAGGCCCCTATATGATATTCAAGAGTCTTTGTCGTTGGTCGGCCCGTTGCAGTGGCCGTCTGGCGGCGCGGCGTTCTCCGGCTCCTTGCCCGGATCTTTTCCTGGAGGAATCCCCGTACAGCACCGTAAAGAGTAGGATCCTTGTGAAAAGGACCCCAAAATAAAATGAACAAGGTATGTTTTCAGGAAATCCCACATGGACTCCGTCAGGGCATCCACAGACACGGCCTCATATGGCGAATGCAAAAACAGGTCCCCTCAACTGTTGAGGCAGGTTCCTGCACCGTCGTCTTTTGCAGGAACCTGTCAGCGGCTCTGAACGCTTCGACAGGATATGCATCAGCAGCTTCTCCTAAGTCTGCACCTTTCTGCGCGCACTTCCAGGCCTTCTGAGCCTCTCCCGCAGCTTCGTCCGGAGGTGCCCCCGGGGCCTCCTTCACCTCGCCTTTCTCGTCCCTCGGTAGAAAAACAACTTCGTCGAGCATTGAATCACTCCTTCTCTCCACAATTCGAGCACATCGCCGCTCTGCATGTGTGTGCATACACATGCACATGCTCATGCACAAGCATGCGCACACACACACACACGCACATACACGTCTACGTACACATCTGTGTGGGTCTTTATATATATATATATATATATATACACACACATATACATATACATATACATATACATATACATATACATATACATATACATATACATATACATATACATATACATATACATATACATACTTGCATACGGATAGCACACAAATGCAGATGCACTGTTCCGCACCCACACGCACACACAACGTGTTCTATACCTCCGCCCGAACACGGAACAAGTTGCGTTCCCTTCCCGAAGTGCTCGTAACAGGATTATCTAAGAATCAAAAGGCAGCAAGGATAGTAGAGCCGCTCCAGCTCGATACTGTCCTAGCACAAGTGAACATCATATTCTGCCCCCCCCCCCCCCCCCTTGAGCGGCCAGGACACCGAACGGGAAATTGGTTCTCTGGCACGGGAGGAGCCTCTGGCGCTTTGGCTGCAGAGCACGGGGTGCTCAATGCCAGCTTGAATTCCTGCTGCAGTGGGGAAGGCGAGGCTAGACAGTGGGGTTTATCCGGTGCTTTCGACGGGCTTGAGGGATTCGTATGACTCACTGCTCGACGGGTTGACGAAGCTTCACGCGATCTCGTCACGACTTCCGAGCATCGCGGCGGTTGCACGGCTGACATGGACGCTTTGGGTCCTGAGGGATGCCTGTGTCAACCCGCTTCATCTCAAACTTCATCGGGCAAGCTTGCCAGTTGAATCTTGGCAGCCTGCAACCTCGGAAAACGAGGCTTCAGGGCTCGGTCAGGACTAACTTTATTAATATTACTATTACTAGTATTATTATTATGATTACTCATATTATTGTATTAGTATTACAGGTGGGGAGCTCTGTTGAGACACCTTACCCACCACGGGCGCGACCAGCTTTTGGGTCGGCCAGGACATCTATCCGAGCAAGAAGTGTGTTTCCACTAGATTCCTAGAATTTCCTAGATCCTGGGATTTTCCAAAAAAGCCCACAGATATTAATCTTGAAGCCAGGGATCCGATGCCATCAGGATCTCGTATCCATGTCGGACAGCTGAAGGTGTTTGTCGGCTCGCCATCGTGCGCTGCAAAGTGGATGCAGCGGCCTGCCCACACCGCCCTCAACATGACGCAATGGCTGTATGATTATGGCTAGACTAGCAAAGGAAATACTCGTCTTGGCGGTAAGCACAACAAGTTGAAACAGCGCACACACACAAACACTAAACACAAAATACACAGAGTAACACTAGTAGTACTGGTTCGATGCTTGCAACCATGGGAGACAATTAAAAACCATAGCAACCGAAACATCTCACATAGACTTTCAGGACGTCCCGCAGCTGCAGTTTAAGGCTTCGGGCTCCAACTCCCTAGGATGATAAGCCAGACTAGTCATCGCAGTAGTCATAGTGGCAGCAATTATAGTATTATAGTTATTTGAGCCATCAGCAGAATAATGCTTGTAAAATGCTCATTCTGTTCATACGAGTAAAAAGTTGAAAAAGAATAATTAATAATGCACATCTGGCTTGGGGGAGAGGGCAGACCCCGGCCTGCATCTGTGCAGTACGGATCATTGAGCAGCTTCGCCCTGAACCAGCAGCCTCTGTCCTCACGGGGGTTTGATGGTGCTGTGCATTCAGACGTATACCATATAACTGCAGGGAACGAAGAACTCCAAACATTCTCTGAGAAGAACAGAGCCATCACCAGCCTCGTCATGAAGGTTGTTGCACTCGCCATGGTCGGTCTGCAGGAACGTAGGAAGATGTGGTCATTACAGCTTCCAGCCTCAAGCCTGACTAAGCGCCCAACACGACCAGGCCACCAAACTTGGACTTCCTGGCCCTTCAAAGAGTTGTCGTAGGCCCACCTCATGGGTTTTACATGGGCTTGCGACACCTCCGGCAAAAATGCAAAGCCAAGGCTATTGCTTTATGTCTTCCTTCTCTTTGCTCCACTTGCCTCCGTGCCCGAAAGACATTGCGCCACACAAGTTCAAAAGGTTTGCAACCGCGCCAAAGCCTGTCTGGTTGCCAAGCTTGAGGGAGTCCAAGTTGCACTCTGTCCTTTCCTCGAATGCAGCACAGATTCTACGGCAGCCATGCAACACCCCGAGCACTTGCAATGAATCCCGAACTTTCGCTCGTGGTGAATTGGGCTGATGCTTGACAAGCCACATCGTCGTCGGGAAGTCCACTTTCCAGCTTCGACTCATCTATCTCCTCCTCTTCGTCCATCCCTGTCATGCAGGGACACGAGAATGCATGCAGGCTTCTCCGACATTCACATGTTCGCTGACTGCTGCTACGGACCTTCTTCCTTCTCGAAGGAGGTGTTCACCTCATTGTGAGAGCCACTGAGATCTGTCAGCGAGCTCGGCATCATGCAGACCTGGTGGTTCCTGAAGTTCCTGGAAGTGGAGGCAGAGGAGCTACAGCTCGCATCCTGCGGTACCAAGCAGCATCGATAAGTCGCGATAGGAGACGCGGGGCAAGTGCGGGAGACTGCCCTGACGACCGTGCCTGCGGCCAAGGACACGCCTGTGATTCCCAGACTGGGCGAGAAAGTGTGGCATCGCCTCAACACAGCGAGGGAAGTGTGCGCACACAGATGCAGAAATGCCCATGTCACATTCTTGATGGCCCCTGAAGCACGGCTGAGAAGGAGGCCACGGAGTGTCCTCGTCGCACCACCGCTGAGCACACCCTGTCAAATATTCAGGCTTAAGGCAAGGCTGGCCAAGATGGACGAGCAAACCCGGTCTGTCGAGAACGCCTTGTCGCACCCCTGTTTTCGTATTACACCGGTCTCCTGCCCACTGGGACAACAATGCCAGACCCGATAGGCCAAAAGCGTACAAGCCTCAACGGGGCTGCAGGTACTCGTCACACACTCGATCTGTCTATCTATCGATTCATCTACCGGTCGATCGATTTAACGGTCTGCCGATCGATCTGTCTAATGAAAAAACATATGTACACATATATATATATATACATATATATATACATACACACAGACAAACATTCGTCTATCTCGAACTCAAAGTCATCTTTTCACCATAACGACTTTCATCTAGCCTATAGAATCTGTCTAGTCTGTCTACTTTATCTAGTCGATCTAGACTATGTGTCTGTGTATCTATCTGATTACTCTAACCGTGTCTAATCTAAGTTCATCTAAGCTGCCGATACGATCTACTCAGTTTATACAATCTAGCGAGAAACGCACACACACACACACACAAAAACTCATGTGCACAACTGTACGAGTTTATGTACATCCCTGTATAGTAAAGGAACCCTATTCTGATTATCAAGGCCCCCATGTTAGAGGGATGCCTCCAGGAAGTGCTGCAAGCACGGCATGGCGCTTGGGCACTGCAGCGAGCAAGCTAGTGGAGGGGCCGCCACTCGAGGTCCCAAGTGGGTAGTTGTCTAAATTATGGTCCCTTTTTGGGTACCCTAAACAATAAGTGACGTAGGGACCCAAAAAAAGGACCAGCATTTTGACAACCACCCAAGTGAGACCACTCCGCACTTAGCACTTAGCTTCTTTTTCGGCTCTCAGGGTTGCGGCATGGTTCATTCAATCCTGTCTGCGATTGAGGGTAACCCTTAACCCTAGAACCCCGAGACCCCTAAACCCTAACAGGGTCGGCTTGTGGTAGGCTTGGGTGACGCACTGAGTGCAGCTGCACCGCTTAGGGCGGTTCAGGGCGGCAGCTGTAACATCTAACACCATCTGGTAGCACTCATACATGCTGCCCATGAAGTCAGGTCTGTCAGCTGTCTTACCGACTTCTTGTTTTTATTTATGCTAGCTCAGAAAACCAATGTGAATCCACGGAAAGCATGTAATCTTTCATTCGCTGGAGCCACATGGAAATCGGCACCAGACATCTTTTCTGTGCGTCCTAGAGCCTCCAACGGGGAGTCCATGCAAATTATGACATCTTAACCAAGACCCCCAGAACTAAGCCCAAACCCTGGATAATCAAAGACTAAACTTGTATGAAACTGCAACTTTACACAAGTGTATATCTATGTACAACACAGATGCAGCCCCTACTTGTACTCCGCACCCCCAGACTGCTTCTGGCAGTGAATCAAAGAAACGCCGGAAGCACGAGCTGCAGCCGGCCTCGGCTTACGGCAGATCACAGGGGTTGCGCAAATTTGTAGCCCTACGAGTCATTCAGAGATGAAAGGCCTAGTTTGGGTACGGCCCCCATACAGTAACAGTCTATGATGGGGCTACTATTGAGGTCCTTATATCTCTATATTATGAATATTATCCAACTGTTACTGAGTGGGGGCAGTACCCCAAGGCCTAGTCTCTAGGAGTGTAGAACAAGCCTCCAGGAGTGGAAAGAGCTGGTACTGAAACTGTAGTGACACCGCAAAGAGGCCCGGTCTACACGATGGTGCTGCTAGTAGTGGAGAAAAGGGTCGATGATGAGAATGATAATGGTACTACTTACTAACTAGCAGCACAACACTAACCTAACAGTAAGCAGCATAACCTGTAGAAGCTTCCAAGCTTACACCTCAAACTATCCTAAATTTAACTCTAAAACCTGAGCCCAAACTTATTCTTCACCCAACAAATACCCCACCGAGGCCGGGTCATTGGATTGGGCTGGAGGCTGGCCGGGTCCTGGTGTACACCCACAGGCCCCACAGTAGCTCCTTTTTGGGATTCCGTTATAGGATTCTTAATATGAACTCCAAAAAGGAACTGCTATGGGGCCTATGGGCAAGAGGAACTCTCTGTCTGGCGTACCATTCCCTAGGGTCTCGGTACGCAAGGGCACGCCATGGCTGGCTAGAAGATCAGGAGGCACAGGTGTTGCATAATATGACCACTGCTACTGCTACTACGGCTTGTTTTCTGTCATCACATCATGTCTATGATTATTCATTTGAAATCAGTACTACTATTTCTTCTGATTATGATCATTCTTCACTTTTATGGTTGTAATTTCTTGTGTTTACAAATATTGTTGTTATTACTACTTTTATTATCGTCATCTGCGGCTGGTGCTGTTTAGTTGTGGTTGTGGTTGTTGTCGTGATTGTGGTCGTTGTTGTAATTGCAAGTGTGGTTGTGATTGCTGTTTTTGTTGTTGCCGTTGCTGTTGCTGCTGCCGTTGCTGCTGGTGCGTTGTTGTCGTTCTTGTTGTTGCTGTTGCTGTTGCTGTTGCTGTTGCTGTTGCTGTTGCTGTTGCTGTTGTTGTTGTTGTCGTTGTTGTTGATGTTGCAACATCACTCTTGTAACATTAGTGGCTTCTTGTTCCCATAATTCCGCTTAGTAACTCGGTTAGAACCCTTGGCTCATGAAAGCATGTCAAATCCGAAGACGTCCGAGTGGTGCATTGCGGCTGCTGGCACCTGCGTTGCTATCCAGATCCGACGAAGCTTGCAATGGACGTGCGCCCGTCCACGACTCAGATCCTGGGTCTGTGCATGTATGCAATAGCGTGTCAGCAAATTTTGCATGACTGCTTGCTCTAATAGCGGGCTCACGAGCTGCAATCACTGATGCCATCTTGGTGCAAGCAAGCTGAGATGGAGTACCGGATGAGCCATCCTTCGCCAACTGCCTGCCATGACGTTTGTGGCTCTGGGCGGAAATCGAACACCCACGAAAGCCGAGCCCTCTTGAACCGTTCTGTGCAAGTGTCTCATCGTGGCCACGTTTCTTCTACAAGCCTAGACGCTGCACCGACAAGCCGCTCCTTAACTCCCGGCGGCCTATACCATGGCCTATCCTCGTGGGAGCAAGAGTTTCGTTGAAGGCACTGCGTCGCAAGATCTCGGTCGCGCCTCGGTTCCTGGTGAGCGTCTCCACCCTGCATCGAAGAAGGGGCTAAGAGACCAGGACTGGGTCTCCCCTTTAAAAGCCTCTTTAAAAGATATTCATAAGCAAGATCTTCTGAAACCCAATGCAGGGAAATGATGTGTAATTTAGGAAGCTAATGTGTAGGGAAGGTAAAATTATTCCAGCGACCCCTTCTTGACGGAAATGAGAGTGCTCGAGTACTCCACTTCATTGATCAAAGCAGAGCCGGAAATAATGTCGGAGCTTTCGAAATCAGGGTCCCCCAGCGTGAAAGAGGACTCTCGTAGAAGGCCGACTCTCGTAGAAGGCCCTCCAATTGAAAGGACCCGTAGGTGCAGCCACAGCTGTGCCGTTCAAGGCCGACGCCATCCCAAAGTGCGGTCCGAGCCGCCGAGCTTCGCGTTGGGTGCTGGCCAAGCTTGGCAGGCTCGTCCTGACAGCTGAAGAGCCGAACCATTCCAGCAACTGAGCATTCCTTAGAGGCCCCGGTGCCTGCATATGTTATGATTGTGTGAGGAAAATAACACCAACCATGTAGGTACAGCATCTGACTTGGAGGCATCGATGAAGATTGCATCTGAGCTGTGCTGCCCGCATTTCCATGGACAGGGCATTGACTTGAGGACTTCTGCTAGGTCTTTTCTGTGCACGCAAGGTGCAGGGTCCACCCATTCATTGACTCGGGTCTGATTCATCTCTGAGCTTGCTTACGACTGCCCCGGGGTTTCTGGCATTCGGTATCAGTGGACCCACGTGCTTCGAGTTTCCGAGCACGAACATTGAATATTAACAGCTGCGCATTGCTTTGCAAGACGGCTGTTCAAAGGACTGTCCACAAGTCTGGCCACACGCCGACCCTTGCTCCAAGCATTGTTCCCTCTACAGGCGTGCGGCTAGACTCTGGATGAGGCGTCTGATTCAAATTCGCCCAAGAGGCCCTACAGTCCGCTGTCGAGAGAGGCTTCGCCAGTTCTCCGCCTTCGAAAGCACATCAAAGGACTTCCTTGCGGCGGAATAATGTAGGGGCCTTAAAACTTAGAATAGGGCTTGGAGGTGCATTATACTACAATTATAATAAGGAGCCCCCCAAAACCCTATTCTAATCATTAAGGCCCCTACAATACCGGTCCAGCTTTGGGGCCTCGAGAGTCCAGCCTGTGCTGGTGCCTCTGTCCCTGCTTCTGTGCGATTATGTGGGTCTCAAAAGCGGCTCCCCTTTCTTTCGCCTTTGCTTTCTGCGACCGCACATCCGTTTAAAGCTTGGCAGCAAATCCAAGATCTTTTCCCGCAGGTTAGAGAAGCGACTCTCTCCTGCGAATTCCTCTTTCGGTGTTCCGTCGCCGAAAAATCTTGAGAAATTGGGGCTGCTATTTCCCTTGAGCAGCTGAGCTCTGCGCCGACGTGTTGCAGGCTCGTTCATGGCTGGATTACTCACTGCCGCAGAAGCAAGCATGTCCTCGTCGGGAGGCTCCAGCTCATCGAACGATCTTCGAAGCATGTAGACTAACGGCACGACCATCCCAAGCGACACGATCACGGCAAACCAGTTCCCAAACTTCGAGTGAGCACCGCCTTTGTTGACCATGAATACCCAAATGGACAAAGCAGTAAGAAGTAGTGCCGCAGCAGCTGAGATCCAAAGAAGGCTCGTAGAGGTGTGAACCAGCCAGCTGCACTCCTCTGTCCACATGAGGCCAAGGTACTCCTGGCACTCTGCTACCATGTTGACCAGTCGGCAGACAATGTCCTTTGTGTCATCATGATCGTCCTCATCGTCCTCATTTCTAGTCGACCCCATTTTGGTTTGGGGGGTGATGTTCATTCCTCGTCTTGCCTGGCTCAGACGTGCGAGAGAATACTCAAGCCATGCATCCAACTTCAATCGGCAGCGGATAAGCATCAGTATCCCCCAAAAGGGCAGGACGAGAATTGCACCTAGGAGCGTCATCCAGAGAAACACAATCCATTTGTGCTTGACTTCGATGCAATGTTCGCACTCGAACTCGGTCTGTGGTATGAACGGGTCCGAGAACTGTATCGCATTTAGCGCGAAAGGCCAAATCCTCAGTCTTTCTGGCGGAGGTGGACTTCGGAAAACTAGCGGCAGATGATGAGCTGATGTAGGTGTCATTATTGAAAGGATCCTAGAAACTTTAGGTTACATTATTAACCTAAAACCAGCAAGCTCGCATACGTCTCCCAAGCCCCTTGCATATTCAGAGCATTACGCCTGCCAATTGTCTTCTAAGCGGGCCAAGAATCAATGCCAGGACGAGCAGCAAGACATCGATTCGACCCATATAAGTATCCTGGGTTCTTGTGACGTATTTACTTTAAGTTACCATAATAAGGAAACCATATTTAACATAGACCACTATAGACCCCTACTATGATGACTTACAAAGAAATCCTTAACAAGAGCCCAGTATCGTGGTGAGAGCGAATCTCCTCCTTCACGTGATCAAAAACGTCGAGGCGCACGGATTGCGACTCGAGCTGGTAAGCTCTCCGCGCCCAAAGGACCTGTGGGGTTTCTTGCCATGGGAGTTTCCGAACATACGGAACCCAAATATAGTACCCAAAGTAATAGGCTCCGTATTAAACGGACCCCAAAATAAGGTACACCCAATTTTCGGAAACTCCCAAATGGCCCTAAACCCTAAACCCTAAACCCTTTACATCAACATCTGTCAGAGACCGACTTTACTGTTTCCGAGCTTCCAAACTTCAGCCCCAGTCATGCCAGCTGGAGCCCTAGACGGCTAGCACTCTAGATTGCACCCTACACACCCCATTCAGCACATCACTGGGCTCAGGGTTTAGGGTTTTTTGACACTCACTCTCGGACAAGCCTGGCAAGGTCTGCAGTAGTAGGTTCGGCGAATCTCACTAACCCCTGCAAGTCGGTTCACTCACAGGGCGGCTCTCAGGTTTAGGGTTTAGGGTTTCGGTTTAGAGTTTAGGATTTAGGTTTAGAGTTCAGGCTTTAGGGTTTAGGTTCCGACGCTTCTGCCTGCTCCTTCTGGTGAACTTGGGCCTGTCCGATCTCCACCACTTGGCCGACGTTCTGCACTTGGTCCAGAACTGCCAGCACGGCACTTGCAGTCATCTTGTAGGACTGAAGGTTCCTCCAGGAGTCTCGTGTAGGGGCCTTCATGATTAGAATAGGGTTTTGGGGTATATTACACTATACATGTAATAAGGAACCACCAAGATAGTAAAGGTAGTTATTAAGGTTACACCATACAAAAAACAAGGAAGCCCCAAAATAGTACAGGTAATTCTTAAGGCCCCCTATATGAAGTCCAAGGGAGCCTCGTCTGGCCGGCCCGGGCCAGCTCAAGACGAAGGCCCCATGGCGGCGAAGTTCGGACCCTTCACGCTGTGATCCGGATGAATACGGACATAAAAGGGGAGGTGAGTTGCGAAGATAGCTGGACCGCAGCAGATGGCAGATGGCAATACTGAGTATGCAGGGCGGAGCTCAGAAACGAGTCCCCTTCCGAAGAACGCAGCAACTGGTACGAGTACTCAAACTACTGCTGCTGCAGCTCCTGCTCCTATCCACCGCAACAACAACCGCCACCACCAAGCAGCTGAGTGAATGTAGTATAGTACAGTATATAAAAGTATATTATAGTATAGTCTACATAATTTGCTCGCTCCAGCTCCTTGGACCGAGCGGATAAGGCAGGCGCCGAGGGGAAGCACGTTGCCTCCTCGATGGGATCGCCAGCCTTCGCAAGTTTATGCAAAAAATCCGCCGTCCCCTTGATTCTCATGCTTCCACGTTACTTTCGGAGAAAAACAGCTGCCCGGCACAACAACGTCGTATCATGTGTCCTGCTCTTCTTGATCTCATATTCTAGTGAACCTAACTCAACTTGGCCGCCTGTGCATGGGGCCGCGAGGATGGAAAGCAAGTCCCTTCGCCGACTTGCCTTTCTGCTTTGACGACCTGTCACGCAAGAAATTCTTGCACCCAGATCTTCTATTGCGAGAAGCACGTCTAAAACCGACGCTAGAACACCTCCCGTTTTAAAGGACTTACATAAGGAGCCCCAAAATTTAGGTTTCTTCGGGTCTCCGTATAAGACCTAAACGCCTAACCCATCCCGCATATGACCCTCATATATATATATATATATATTGTATGTATGTATATATATATATATGTATGTATATGTATATGTATATGTATATATGTATATGTATATATGTATATGTATATATGTATATGTATATGTATATATAGAGATATATATATATAGGCATATAGGTATATATATATATACATATATATATACATATTTACATACATACAGATGTATAGCCTTATAGTTCTCGTAAAGCGTGGGTTTCTCAGGATCTAGCCGTCTAGCCCTGAACCCTGGTCGGGCCTTTGGTTCTTCTGGCGGGAGGGCTGTGGCCTCACCCACCTGCGGTGAGGCTCGAAGCTTCCAACAGAGCCCCGGAACCGCAAAGGGCTCCTTGAAGGGATCTATAGGGTTCCTTAAAGGGGTCGAAAGGGTTTAGGGTGTAGGGTTTACTTGGAGGATCATGGGACTTAGAAAGTAGGGTTATAAATAAGGTAGCTGTACTTATAGTTACTCACAACCCCAATTAAATTACTTATAATCTTACTTACTAAGTCCAATGATCCTCCGAGTAGCTCCTCTCTAGTTACCTAGAGGCTCATACCCTGCCCCTTGTGTAAGGCACTTCATGTTCTATATGACAGATCCTAACCATAAAACTAGGTATCCTTACTAAAAAGGGGTAGGGTATGAGCCTACAGGCCTGCAGGTTTAGTATCATTAGCCCTCAACGTTATTCAAATCATTGAAGCACGTAGATTTCTGCCATCGGCTCTTGAACCAGGCGTATTAGACCACAGGAGGCTGCTCAAAACCCACTAAGGGCTTCATATGGCCCTAATAAGGGGTTAATATGGTCATAATAAGGGCTTAACATGGTCATAATAAGGGCTTACCCACAAGTCCTCGTCTTCGGGGCTGAGTACCCTAGCACCTCCCAAAAAGGTGCGTCGTTTAAACCACGGTGGGAACTCAGATGCAAACAAACGGAAAAAAAAACGCTACCCCTGAACGCCGCACCATGATCGAAGTGTGACCCAGGCAACATCTCCGAAGTGGTCACTGGATGTCACTGGGTGGTGCATGGTTGCTATAGGAGATCATTCGCACAGCCCCTCTGCGACTACACGCGCCCAACGCCCTCAGATCCGGAAGCGCATGCCAGTCACCAAACTTAGTAGGGTAAGGTTATAAGTACCTTAATTGGGGTTATAAGTAACTATAAGTACAGCTACCTTATTTATAACCCTACTTCTGTGAAGCATCCTACACCGATGCTGTACGGTTTTTGTTGAAGCCTTTCTTGTGGCTGGCATTGCTTCCGTGACGAACACTGCTTCAGCTACACGGACGGCTTGAGGGATCGATGCATACTACCTTCCCGAACCACGACACAGGCCTTCACAACATTCTTGATTGGCTTTCTGTTCAAGCTGCTTGTTTTCGACACCTACTCAGCTGCAAGCGCAGCCAAAGTCATGCCATAAACCCTCTGCAGCTGCAGCTTTTGAGACATGTGTGTCGTTTTTGATATGGCGATGTTTTAGGCAAGGATCACGAAAGGACATTGTATCCGGAGTAGTATAGGGACCGCAATAGTTCGAATAGGGTTTTGGGTTCTATTATATTGTACTCAAGCTAGAAGAGGAGACCAGAGTGATTATTGAGGATTGTGTAGTCATCTCAAGACGATTCCAGCGGCCGCCTGAAAACCAACATGATCCAACGGCCCAAGACAGCGTCGCACCCTTTTGCTGCGGCATGCGCTCTGGCAGCTGGATGGTACCAGTCTGTCACCCTACCTGGACCCCGAACAATCCCCTTTGATTCGAGAACACGCCATGGTAGGGAACCCTAAACAAGACGGCTTAGTAGGGTCCAGGTAGGAACTAAATCAAAACCCTTCGAATCTGCTTCATAAAATCTGGCTTCGGCGCTCTGCTCGGACCGGGGATTTGGGAGCAGTCGACTCCCCTGGTTGTCTTCTGGACATAACAACCACGGATCATACTAGTAGAAATAATATAAACAAAATTACAATAGTTTTCTTGATAATTGATTGAACGTATCTTAAGTGGGTTTTCAACCCC